GGCAACGGATCGCAACCCTCAGTGTTGCCCCCGGACCGGACCGGGGACTGGCAATGGGATCGCAAGCCTCGGCGTTGCTCCCGCGCCTCGCTCAGCCAGTGAGCGGGAGCCGGTCTGTATGTGGGATCCGAACCCTCGGACGGGAGCGCCGCCGCGCTTCCCAAGCGGCGCACTATCCAGTGCGCCACCGGGCCGGCCCTGTTATACCTCTTTTCATAGCACTAGTATTAACTGTAATGCATTGTACTTTTACTTATAAGTTACCTATCTGTGTGGTCTAGAATATTATACTCTATGAGGGCTAAGTCTGTCTTATTCTTAGCTGTGTCCTTCCAGTGTTTAGCACAATATCTGACACATACTAGATGCTCAAATATCTGCCTAATAAAATGTCAACAAAAACGAATTTACAGAACTTCATCATTAGACAATCTTGTTACATATTTTTTAAAAATTAGAACTCTATTTGGATACTAGTATCTTCAATGGCCAGGTGAGAACTGGCTCCATGAACACTACTTTTGGCAAGGATACTGGCAAACAAATATTAACTGTCCAAACAAACCATTCTCAAATTCATAAAATTTATGTTGAAATTACTCAAACTGAGTACATATCAGCATAATTTTAAAAAAACCCAAAGTTTAAATAAAAATTTAGATCTTTAAACTACCCCAAATTATCAAGGGCTCACTTATGTGAACCAAATAAGCAAACCCTTATGTTATATTAACAGAATTTTCTTATGTGACTGAGAAATTAAGTGGCTCAAATCTACAATCTCAAGGAAAACAAATTTCAGTAGACCCAAATACCAACTTTGAACTCTTTATTCTATTGGAAAAGACCAGAAGCTTGACAAACCCCTAATAGTACATAAATCAATACTCATAGTGTTCCTGCTATACCCAAATCACCAGGAAAAAGGTGGTATAGGAATTTTCATTCAGGTGTTTACTAACCAAAAGTCCAGACTTAGGATTTGGGAAAGAGATGGCCCTGGAAGGATGACTATACAAATAATACTCAAAAAACCATGCAAACATAGGACAATAATAGTGAAAATAATTTAACCCCCATTTATATCTGGCTTTGTACACTGCTAAATTTATTAAAGTCACCTTTGTAGCACAGCCCTAAACTTAGCAATTTACCAATTATGTGCAACAACATGCCTAAATATGGGCAATTTTTACTCATCCCAGTCCCAAACTAGTCATGAATACTTCCCCTGCACCCAAATGGTACTAATCTAAATAACATGATAGGTGGAAACCTAGCCTGATATTTAAGAAAGTGTACAGAATGGGTATCAATTTTTGTTTTGGAGTAAAAGATACCTACTGTGCGAAAATCTTTTTCAAACTTGTAAGCACCGCCTCCTGTAGCACACAGCACCGTCTGTAATGTTGAGAAGTTTTTATCTCTTCCCATTTGGATAAAAGTAGGCAGGTCCTGGGTTGGAAATCTGATAAAGTGCAAGTTTCCTCTTCGACCAAAAAGCGTTAAATCCTTCAGTTCAAGGTGTACATCCCGAATGCCAGTGGATCCATATGCTACATTGGAAGTCAGATATTTCCGAATACTTTTTAAGCTCTCAACTTCTTCTTGTTCTTCCTCTGCTGTGATGTCGATAGGTTCAAAATAAGAGAGCTTTACCAGAGTTCCCCCAATGTCCATGCCAAACCACGGGAAAGCTGTGAATTTAAAAAAAAAAAAAAAATATACACACACACACACACATATATACATACACATACACACACACACGGTGGAAACCTAGCCTGATATTTAAGAAAGTGTACAGAATGGGTATCAATTTTTGTTTTGGAGTAAAAGATACCTACTGTGCGAAAATCTTTTTCAAACTTGTAAGCACCGCCTCCTGTAGCACACAGCACCGTCTGTAATGTTGAGAAGTTTTTATCTCTTCCCATTTGGATAAAAGTAGGCAGGTCCTGGGTTGGAAATCTGATAAAGTGCAAGTTTCCTCTTCGACCAAAAAGCGTTAAATCCTTCAGTTCAAGGTGTACATCCCGAATGCCAGTGGATCCATATGCTACATTGGAAGTCAGATATTTCCGAATACTTTTTAAGCTCTCAACTTCTTCTTGTTCTTCCTCTGCTGTGATGTCGATAGGTTCAAAATAAGAGAGCTTTACCAGAGTTCCCCCAATGTCCATGCCAAACCACGGGAAAGCTGTGAATTTAAAAAAAAAAAAAATATATATATACACACACACACACACATATACATACACATACACACACACACACACACAATTTATTTTAGAAATGCAGATTAGGAACTACATTTACCCTGAATCACACATTTAGTCAATAATACTTATTGGGTAAGCAACATTTCCCATGTGCAACTCACTTTTTTCCCTTCAAAGTTTTATTTGTATTTTCTTTTCTTTTCTTTCTTTTTTTTTTTTAAAAAGATGACCGGTAAAGGGATCTCAACCCTTGGCTTGGTGTTGTCAGCACCACGCTCAGCCAATGAGCAAAACGGCCATCCCTATATAGGATCCGAACCCGTGGCCTTGGCGTTATCAGCACCGCACTCTACCGAGTGAGCCACGGGCTGACCTTTTATTTGTATTTTCTAAAAACTCATAACAAAGGATGCTTAGAAACGGCCCAGGGCCTATTAATTCCTGTCTGACAGGCATTCCTTTTCATTTATTAAGTACTTATCGTGCCCAGGGAACAGGAAGAATTTGGATCAATTCTGTCTCAATAAATAGGTCATCACCTAGGGCTTAAAATTCTTTGTTTCTATGAAGATTTTAATATAATGGAAGAATTTGGATCAATTCTGTCTCAATAAATAGGTCATCACCTAGGGCTTAAAATTCTTTCTATGAAGATTTTAATATAACTAATAAAATTGGCCTACAATCACTTCAAGTAACCCCAGGGAAAAGTACCTCCTTAAAACTAATTATTTTCTTTTCTCATTAAGTGTATTGGGTTTCCATGTCAATCACTGTACATACAGTATATGCATGTATTGAAACAGCACCGTACCCCAGAAAAATAAATAAAATTGAAAAAAAAAGTATACTATGTTTCTTTGGTACAGTTGGTTAATAAAATTAGCTTTTAATAATGTTGAAGGTAAGTCTACTCAGGGACAAGCATATTTGGGCAAGCAATATCATTCAAGTTTAGGACTTGGCATCCTCTCAATAACTGGACTATATGACTTTGGAAAAGCCATTAATCTCTCTGGATCTTAGTTTCCTTAATTCTCTTCGGTAAATAATTATTGAGTATCTCCTCTACACTAGGACATGGGAATGTAAAATAAAATAAAATTCCTGCCCTTGAAGACAGCTCAATCTAATAGGGGAATGTAAATACAAATACACAAGAATGAGATAGGCAAAATAAAATGATATACAAAGTACAGACCGATAGAAGGAATGCTAAACTTTATGCCTATGTAGGAAAGTAGGGAAATCTAGTAACAGAAAAGCTTATCCAAAGACAAATAAGCATAAATCAGTACAGTTGGAGAAGTAAGAAAAATTAGGGCTGAGGAAATAAGAGTCAGTCACAGAGGGGCTTGCACACAAGGCTAAGGAGCTTAGACTTGAACCTGCAGACAATGTGGACACTCCTGATATTCTAAGCAGGGACTGGCACAGTCTAGGTGCAAATTAGAAAGCTTATTTAGTGGCAGTGTGCAGAATTGACAAGAGGTGCTTAAGATGTGCCTGTAAATTAAGGCCAAGTTACCCTAAATCTAGTAGATCAAAATCACCTAGACATTTAAAAAAATACAGATTATGGAGCCCTCACCCCAGATGTATTGAAAAGTAATCTTTAAGAGTGCGATCTGGGACTCTTTAAAAACAAAAACAAAAACAGTAGCAGAAGAAACTAAATTTTCTCCATCTCGTTGGGTGGCTAGCAGCAGAGGCCATCTTACATAAGCAATACCCTCTTGAAACAAATGGTAGGCCATTTACAGAAACGACACACAGAATGTGGTATCACTAAATTTTGCTTTCAGTTTGTGAGATCTAGTTCTGCTTTAAGAAATTCATGTTAATGTACCAACCAGCTACCCCCCTAAAAAGAAAAAAAATTCATGTAAAAAGTTACAGATTGCCTGTTCAAATAAGTAAGTAGTGGTAAGCAGCAATACTAAATTACAGAGGGGGAAATTAACAAGAGTGTTTGCTTGGACAAATACACTTAAAACAACAGGAACAGGTCTATTTGACCCAATAAACCAAAGATATTTCTTCAGAATTTTCACAATCTGTTGAAAAGACATATAATTAGGACACTTACTGATGGACACTAGAGAAAACAAAGGAATCCTTCTGATTATTATATAACCAGAACGAGTTTTCCTATTTGGCTGATGCTTGATTCTACAAGATTGTCTGGGGAGCAGTAGAAATCACTAGTGCCACATAAAGTACCTTTTGGGATAGAACAATTTCTATAAAGTGAGATTTATTAAGATAAAAACATTTATTCTCCAAAATTCAAAATACATTACATACCAATATTTGTAGGTTTTCTTTCTGTGTCTCATGTCAAACACAGGTGTGAAAACATACATACAAATATAAAAATGTTACCCATGCAACAAACTACAAAGCTAATTGTAAAGCATTACCAGGTTTAAATTTCATGCCATTTTTATTTTCAGCCAGAAGCCTCTGCTCCCAGGTTTATAAATACCTGAATACTGCCATTCTTGAAAGCAATAACCCCAATTAACACACACATGAAGAACTTTTAATTCTTACACAAAACCATGAATTAAGTTTCAAAGGAACCTTGAAACTGCCAAGATAATATTTCGAGTTTACAGATAAAATATTGGGGAATAAGAAATTACCTACTTTTCTAAAGCTATGAATTAGTATCAAGGTTTCTGACTCCAAAGGTATATCAACAGCCAATTCCAAAATGCGTAACTCTGATCACTGTAATGTACATAGAGAAGTATTTAAAACTCACGTATGAGACACAATGAGTCTAGAGTGCTACTTGAAAAGCGTATGAAGAGTGTTATTACAGTGAATGGATTTGGTGACCACTATGTAATGCATGTAATGAAGTATTAAGGACCCATCTACAAAAGTGTTAATGTTTACTGACTCTTTCTCGGATAAAGAAAATGACTCTTTAGGTATAATTTTCATTAAAATGATAAAAACAACCTTCTAGTGCTTCTTTAACAGGCTTTTTGGGCATGCTGTCTGCATGAAACAACGAAATTTGTCCTAATTCAAAAAGAAAACGTTACGCAAAAAGTTAAAATTCCTAAAGAAAGTTATATATCATTACAGTGTACTACATCTCTTATTTATAAGTCTTGAGTTATATTAAATACTCAGAATATTATAAATATGTATGTCAGGCATAATGAATCACCACCACCACCACCAACTAGGAACTCACGAAACAGAATATTATTAAATTTCAACGGGCTGGCCCGTGGCTCACTTGGGAGAGTGCGGTGCTGATAACACCAAGGCCCCGGGTTCGGATCCCATATAGGGA